ATCTCCCAATGAGCAACTGGTTTAGGAAAAGATCAAAGGCAAAGAGGAGCCACAAATTACTGGCCTCTCAACAGAGCCAATGATAGGGACTTTCCTCTTTTTCTCTCACCTGGCCCTGAGGGAATGGGTGCTGCCTGGCATCAGAGAAAAAGATGCTTCTGAACGAGGGTATAATTAGGGGATTTCACTGTTTATGAGACATCCAAATAATTTTTCCATCCTTTTTGTGAACCTCCTGGCTTTTTCATTAGTAGTTCCATTGTTATTCTTTTCAGACAAATTTTGTCAAGTAGGAAAAAATGGAGTAGCTGAATAACTTTCTTTTACTAATAGTCGAGAATCCATTTGTCTGGAAGACAGGATGTTCCCCTATTGCCTCTGTACAATCAGTATAGAAACTGAAGCTTGAAAAGATCTTAGGTATTTCAGCAAGGCAATGATATGAAAAAAATCTTCCAAATCAAACAATTTTCAGAAAGGAAGATAAAGGATTTTGGAGTGGCCTCTTCTAACTCCAGATTTGAATGTCATTGAAAATCTATGGGGAGATATCAAATATATATTACATGCAAGAAGAACCAAAAATATTTCTGAGCTGGAAAAGGTAGGTCTACAAGGAAATACATAGAAGAAACCAGGATAACTGGGAGGAACACTTGCCATGATACAAAACATTAATTTAGCTCCATATAGGAGTGGCTTCACCCTCTGTTCATTTAGGAACTGAAACCTACAATTTGACCAGAGGTGTCTAAATGTTATCTGCAATTGTCTCTAATGCTGAAGTATTAACGAATGCACAGGTAACTATAGAGCTTCCAGAAACACCTGTTAAATATTTTGGCATATCGGAGACAATTTAGGAATGCCTTAAATCAGGGGTGTCAAACTCATGACGACACGTCATCATGTGATGTATCACAACTTTCCCTCCTTTGCTAAAATGTGGGTGGGCATGGCCAGTGCATGACGGGCTGTGAGTTTGAAACCCCTGCCTTAAATGTTCGTACAGAAAAGGGTTTAGCAAACATAAAACTTCTCTCTAGAATTAAATTAAGAAATTTAAGAAATGCTTAATTATAGGAGTCACTTTTAAAATTGAATGTCTCAATACATTTCTAGATTGAAACATTATCCTCATTCTTTTCTAGAAGATTTGCTTTCAGAAAACTAGAAAGGCGAGTTAAGTAATTAAATGTCCAAATAACAATATTCCAACTTGATTAGACAATAAATCAGAGGTGGTATTCAGGAGGTTCTGACCAGTCCTGGAGAACTGGTAGCAGAAATTTTGAGTAGTTCAGAGAATCAGTAAATACCACCTCTGACTGGTCCCGCCCCATCTTTTCTCTGCCTCCCAAGTCGCATCTGATCAGAAGGAAATGGGGATTTTGCAGTAACCTTCCCCTGGAATGGGGAGGGAATGGAGATTTTACAGTGTCCTTCCCCTGCCATGCCCACCAAGCTATGCCACATCCACTAAGCCACGCCCACAGAACTGNGTTTCAAAGAGGAGACCTCTTGAATTTTTAATGGAGATATCTGAAGGGCCATTTTGTTGCAAGAAACTATTTCATGAGTTCAATCCAACATTAGAAATTACATTTGGTCCAGACATTTCTCCCCTATAAATAAATACCCGGGTAACGCCAGGTTATCAACTAGTACATAAAATAAATCTATGTTCTTTATTTCAACATGGCAAGATTACAGAAAATCAGAGTTGTCTGGATGTACAATTTTTTTAAAAAAAATTAAAAAGTGGATTGAACTCATGAAATAGTTTCTTGCAACAAAATGGCCCTTCAGATATCTCCATTAAAAATTCAAGAGGTCTCCTCTTTGAAACTTCTTTAATTCTTTTTAAATATTAGATAAAGCACAAATGTTATTTCATTTTTATTTATTTGAATTCATTAGCTGCCTCTCTTCAGTGGACTCAATTAATGAGTGATGTTAAAGAAAGAAAAATATATATATTGTGCTTTTTAAAAACTATGTGGAAACTTTTAACAGATCTGAATGGAGGTGGTCTAATCTTGTGGAGAAGAATTGGTGAATACATGTATGAAAGTGAAGGTTGAAGTTAATTGTGAATGAAATATATGTCAGAAAGAATGAATCAGAGATCTTCTAAATCAGGGAAAACCAGGGTTTTTCAGAATGTGTTCTTCAGAATCCTACTGACCAATCACATACTATTCATATATGGAATGCTACTACATGAGAACTTGATGGGGTTCCATGAGAGACCAAGATCCTCCCCCCAAAAAATCACTTGAACACAGCTTTGCTTCTTGATGAAGGATTCTGAGAATGGACTAAAGAGCTAGAGTTTCCTATATTGTACAGATAATGGGAGAGTGTCTTCTATAACAAATGTGTCAATGGATCTCAAATTACAAATTATGCAACAAAAATAATATTTTGAATATTTTGGATTCCATTACATTTGTATAGAAAAGAACTGTCAAAAACAGCACTTTATTGGAGATATAACAAGTATAATGCTTCTTTAAAACATATGTTTTAACTGTGTCTGATATTTTAAACCATGGGGCCTGGTTTTTGATATACTGGGGTGAGGAAAGGGGGGCTAGGTGCCTATTTGTGTCTGCATACAGAGCAAAAGAGAGGGAACCTTTACCTTTACCTATGTTTGATTGTATGATAACTCTGAGCTTGGAACCAAGAAGACTATGACTGACTCATGAAAATTATTTTTATTTTTTTATCTTAGAGTGAGGGGACAGTAATTATGTTTCTGGATGACAGTTTACTTGGTGTAGTGTACCTCAGTTGCTAATCTAGTTTTATCTGAGCCTCTCCTTCCATGTTTGATAGAGGATAACCATTCATAAGAAGTTCTAGGTACTCTCCTGTCTACTATCAGGGAACTCAGAATATATGAAACATGGCTTGCCAAATTAAAACAACAAATATCTAATTCAGTGTTCAGCCAAAGTTCTTTTTCTTTTAATCTAAGATGTTTATTCAATGTGATAAATTCTATAAACGAATTGTACACTATATGATAAAAGCTGACACGATAAACTATAAGATAAAACTTGCATTTATGGAATTGATATCAGGATCAATAATTACATACTTACAGCCTAAAACATTGCCTTCTAGATTTACAAATGCAACTTCCTCTCTGTCCTCTCTGCTGGGAATGAGGCATATGTATATTATGCTTTTCTTGTAGGATGCTATTAATCGTCACCAGAACAAGCCTTTGGAATTCCAGCAGATAAATGGTAAAAACCTGAAAGATGCGGAGACACTTTTAAAAGACCTTTTTCTAGACGTAGACAAAGTCAAGCATCTGAAACATCCTCAAGCCTTTGAAATTGAAAAAGAGTAAGTAATGATTTATATTCCAGCCCTCTTGAGAAACAGTAAGTGCATGGAGACACACGTACATGACAAACTTCAGATCAAGTTTGGGCAATTCTTCCTTGAAGAAACCCATTTTCTAATGAAGAAATTCCCTTTCTTCTCCCCTCCAAAAGTATCAAGCAGCTCCATATCCGAATGACACATCAATGTGCAGAGTATCGAGAGCTCTATGAAAAATTTACACTTTCTGAAGTTGGTTCCAAAGTGGACTGGGCAAAAATTCTAGAACAAAAACAGGTAAGAGTTGCTTCTTGGGTATGTGGCATTTCATTTGATCAAGTGCAATTCTTGATCAATAAAATTAATAAGGTTGAACGTGAATTCCAGCTTTACTTGGAGATCACAGCAGAAGAACAAATGTTTTTTTTTATCCTTGCAAGGCAAAGATGATACTGGCATAATAAAAATTACCTCAACCAATGCTTATCAGGGCATGCATGGCTTTGACAATGGCACCAATTTGCCCTAGAAATACAGTAACCTTTTATCCAAATTCATGATGAAACCAGGGACTTTGCTTTGTCAGACAAATCTTTAAGGTGGACCAAGTCATACTGTCCAGGTTTACATATTATTGTGGTTAGTTCCATCTTAACTTACTATGTTATATAAACATAGCCAATTGTAGCTTATGAATGAACCACAATTATGCAAACCGGTTTAGCTCAATGGGTAAAACAAGTTGTTCTTGTACTGAAAAACTACTACTAAGCAAAATAAAAATAACCCTGGTTTAATAATCCGTGCCAGACTAGGTGATCAGGAAATATTATCAAGAACATGCAGCTTGGCTGGTAATGCAACCTAGCAACTACCGGTATATTTCAACCCATTTGTCTTACTATCACTGAATTAACTACAGAAATAGGGACTGTGTAATGTTGTTAAATGCAATTTCTCAACAAGCAAAGTTTTTTTTAAAGTACAGTAAGAATATGCTTGTTTTTAATTGCTTTCCTATAGTGAAACCTCCGTATAATAAAATCTAGTAATCATTGAGCAGTAATGCCTGAAACCCAGAGAAATCTCTCAAACCCAGAGAACTTGAGTGTTCAAAGTGCTTTAACAAGCACTAAAATGCCTTTCCATCTTCTCACTTCATAAAGGAGTTGCCTAGAATAGTTACTCTGATCGGGGTACCTAAGTTTAAGATATGAATTGTTAATCTTTAATCAATCAGTTCTTTGAAAAACTATTTGATTTATGTGTTGTTAAAATATTTAAAAAATTGAGGGACAGTACTGTCCCCAAGAGTGTCAGTCAACAATTGTATTAATAATAAATTACTTTCATACACAGAATTTAACACAATTATTGGGAGAGGAGTGGAATTCTCCTTTGGTGACTCATAAGTGAGCACAGAAATAATTTGTTATTATTGTTCTTAGGGTCTCTTGGAATGAATTCCCTTTTTCTTCCCAGTGGAACACAAAGTCAAACTTGCTTTCATGGTGTTCCTTTCCTAGGTACTCTAAAAATGTCCAGGAATAAAATGAATATTGATGGTTCTCTTTTCTAATGGCCAGAGTATTTTCTAATTTTTATTCTGCAGATACCTTTCTTCAAATGTACAGTTTTTCAGAGCTCCATATAACATTGTCTCCCATTTGTATTACTATGTTAGTAAATTATCAACATACCTAGATTAAGGCCAGGAGGGTTTGCATGTCACCACGTATTGCTGTTGCCTTGGATATAAACATACTCAACAGCTTTATTTGTGTCAGCTTTCAAGATATCAGATTTTCTTCAATACATGTCTTTCTGCCTGTGTTTTCACACAAATGTAATATCCTCTTTGTATCAAATGTTCTGCAAGGTACGGGTTTATCAATAAGAGAAGCTTTTTGGTGAGACAACTTCAAAACCTTTCAAAATGATCTCATCAGTCTTTGCCTGTGTCACTTCTTCCCATAACCACTTTTCCTGCACCTTTTTCTGGTTTTGAGTTCCACTTGCTAATGTTTCAGGATCATTTGGTTTAAGTGCTAGCAGCGGTCACAAGTATTAGGAACAGCATGAAATGGTTTTTTTCTTGCAGTTGAATAATTCTAAATATATACAGTATGATGACTTACTGGTGGGTTTGTTTCAGAAACAAATCAGTGGAGGGCAATATGGACCTACAATGCCTGAGCTGGAAAAACAAATTGCAGAACACAACATTCTTCAGAAGGAGATAGAAGCATATGGCCTGCAGATCAAAAATCTTCAGAGTCTGGTAAGGCATATGGTCAGTCTCTTCACTGTAGAGATGAATTATAGTAGATGTCTTCCCAATGCTGTGTGGTTGGAGAGTGAAGAATAATTAATCTGATCGTTTTAAATAATATCTAACTTGGAAATCACACACCTTGAAAAATGAACCATTACACATTCACAAGACCTGTTCTTAACTCCCAGTGAATTTTAGTATTCCAGTGGAGGCTTCTAAAATTAATAGTTTGTATGAAATTCCTATTTTTGTGAAATTCACAAGTCTTCATTTGCTATCCTTTAAGGGTAAGTACAGGTACAGTATTTCTCTTGAAAAGTAAACCAGACCATGAATATTATAATATTATATTATTGTACTCTAGGAGGCAGAACTACACTTGAGAAGAAAAATATATGAAAATATCAGAAGTCTAAGACAACAGACTTGGAACTTTATTCTGCATGTAGAGATATGATTATTGTATCCCAGTAATATGATGGGAAAACTGACAGTATTTATTATAAGCATTTTTGTGTGATTGTGGTTGTATTAATAGTGATGGTGAAGAAGAAAAACACAAAACCAAGTTCTAATGGACCACAAGTTCCATCATCGCTAGCTAACCCAGTAATTGTCCATTTTGAACTATAATCCAACACATATGAGAGCATTGAATTTGTGAAGAGAAAAGAGGCAGACAATCTGATGCCCTTCAGATGTTGTAGCCTACAGCTTTAAAAGTCTTCACCTTTGCTCATGCTCTTTGAAATTCAGTTCAAACTCAAACCATCAGCGTTTGAATGGGAATGACTACTTTTTCTTCTTATCTAGCAATTCATTTTGAAGCTGCAAGATAAGAAAAATAGGGAAATTTCAAATGATTAATGTTTTAATGTTGTAAGCTGCTGGGAGTCACTTGTGTGCAAGCTGGACAGCCATATAAATTTGTTTAACAAAATAAATAAATAAAATTTGCAGAACATGGTTGAAAAGGTTTGTATAATGTCAGCATACTGGAAGTCCAGTACTAAAATTTTCCATTATAATTGTTGTAATTAAAGGTTCTTCAACAATACCTATACTTCTGCTGTCAGTGAGTTATCAGACAATAACAGTTTACAGACTGAGCCATAATTACCTGTAAAAAATGAAATATCTATTCATAGTACTGGCAATCAAATCCAAATTTGTTTTTTTTTACTTAACAATTCAATTCCTTCAATATTTAAATAGTAAATATTGATTAAAATATTGACTACATTGTGAAGGGGACAGTTTGTTCATGGGAAAAAACTTAAAGCAAAGATCATATTAAATCCAAATATTATAGTATAAAATTGTAATTTTACATGCAATATGACATATCTTTTTAACATATTATGATAAACCATTAGTATTGTCCCTTTTAAAAATAAAATTGTTCTCATTTGCTCCAAACAGGAAGCTGGAGATTTAAAGATTCAATACAAGGATTTGTTGGTAAGAATTTTATTCATTATTGTAGGCTATAACTTTTTAAAAAGTATTATTAAAATGCTAAATCAGATTCATGTAAACTGTGATCAGAAAATCTGGCTATTAAAGATAGGAGTCATTTGGTTTTGAGAGAATGTGACGATGACACCTTCCCAAACTGAGTGCCATGATAGACATACCTATATACAAAATGGCTGCCATAGTGGCTATGACCCTTTACAATACCTAAGGTGACCAGATTTTCAGATTGGTAAAGAGGGACACCTTTGACCGGGGGGGGGGGGGTTGTGATTAAAAAAAATTTTTTTT